ACTAATTTAAAGAAAAACTGCATTGTGTGTTGTACTAGTGCTTTAGTTAAAAATAGTAGAATATACTAATTTAAAGAAAAACTACATTGTGTGTTGTACTAGTGCTTTAGTTAAAAATAGTAGAATATACTAATTTAAAGAAAAACTGCAGTGTGTGTTGTACTAGTGCTTTAGTTAAAAATAGTAGAATATACTAATTTAAAGAAAAACTGCAGTGTGTGTTGTACTAGTGCTTTAGTTAAAAATAGTAGAATATACTAATTTAAAAACTAAAGCACTAGTACAACACACACTGCAGTTTTTCTTTAAATTAGTATATTCTACTATTTTTGTTCTGAATATTAAATAACTTAAAACCCAGTCAATGTCTATTAAACAAGCAGTACATTCTAAACCATTCTGAATATTGAATAACTTAAAACCCAATCAATGTCTATTAAACAAGTAGTGCATTCTAAACCATTCTGAATATTAAATAATCTAAAATTCATAGGGTTCAAAATTGTGACATTTGTTTATTTCATTCATAAAACATTAGAGTTTATATTTTATTCTTTATAAATTTCTGGAAGCTGTTAGATATCCAATGTTTTTATATCTTGCGAACTGTATATATTTGGAGTAATAGTTGATATTTCTCATGGTTGGTTTATGCTGTATAATTCAATTCAGAATTTGTCTTTTTTATTGTGAGGTTACTTTGTGTAAAGGTATTTCCTGTACTCAATGTCCCATAAGGTATGTTTCTAGAATATTCGGATCATTTCAGAAATTTGTTTCTAAGTCAGTTAATTGAGAGAGAGAGAGGTTTTTCAACAGCACGAATCAAGCCAAACTATATTTACATCTATTAATTAATTTATTATTATATGAAGTACCTTCAACTTAGTAATTAAGAACAAGAGGTTGTGGAACAAAACATAAACTTAACAGTATTCATTTTCTTATTACTTTGGAATGTGTCTTTAATTTCTAGATGTCCTGAGTGAATGATTTAATCTCAAAATATATAGCAACATAAGTTGGAGTAGCTTTTTAATATAAATATATTTAAAGTTAACTTAAGACCAAGTACTAGGTACATAACCTTACATCTTTGTTAAATCATTATCTCAATAGGTATTGATGTTCAATGACCTTGTAGGGTATGAGTAATATAATTAATTTAGTTTGTATAGAATTATAGTATTCAGTTATAATTCTGTACTGCTCTATATAAACTCACCAGAAGAAATATCTTACTTTTTATTATTTTCACAAAAGAAAGTTAATCAGTACTTTTTAACTTCTATAAAAGACATTAATAAGTATTGTATGTGTTCATACATTGGTATTATGGTGTGTGTCAAAACATTTTAAAAGACTCACTAGTTAAATATTGCACATTTTGTCAAACTCATTTGTTATTGCATTTTTCAGAAAAATCTTAAAACTGAAATTGTTTACTAAATTACATTGCTTACTATGAAGAAGGAAACCTGTCACAGAGGACTTGCCAGTATTTTCTCTTTACAGTAATGATAATATATAGTCTTAAAGATGGAAGTTTTAGATGATTTATAGGTGTTTATAATATCTACAGTATTATTTTTCTGCTCCAAGGTGGTATATAGAGAAGTGGAGAAGAAAAAAGCACAGTTAAATCCAAATGATGTTCTTGCTGGTAACACATCTCCATATTTCTTGCAGACTAAGTGTAAGTTTGACATAATATGCAATTGCTTGGAACATAAATTTTTTTCTTACACATGATGAATGTAATTGTATGAGGGGATAGCTGTATACAACTTTTTTTTTTCCTCAAGACTTAAGCTTATTGTTTCTCACTTTGTTTAGCTTGGAAACAAATCTTACTTTGTATACTGTTTGTTACAGTAATCTTTCCTAAATATTTCTTATTACAAACATACAATTAGATACATTAATTTAGATTTATTTTCATATCATAAAGATTTATTTATTTTTATGTACTAAACTCAAATTAGCAATTTTCATGTTACAGATTTTCTTAAAATGGATTGAGTAGTAATTTAAGAATTATTTGTTTTTATCAATATGATATTTATACTTTTCTATATTAAAGTGAAATATTACACAGAGATAAGTTTTAATCAAATTTCTTGTTCTTACATGTATTTAATCAATTGTTTTCCCATTAATAATTTCTAACAGCTTGTACTTAATCTTTATTCAATGTTACTACTTGTGTCTAATTGTGAAATGTATTATTAATTAATTTTACTCTATTTAAATGAAATGTCAGTTGCTGTGCTTGTAGAATAATTGTTTAACATTAATAATGAACGAGCTTGTAATATGTGCAGTACATGTAAATTAGTTATGTAGAAAGGCATGTATTTATTACAGATAACATAACTGAAAATCAAATATTGTGTGCATGTGCATTTCAGTCCTCATCCAACTGTTATTTTTTATATAAATACTAGATATATTTTGCTGATATGATTTTATTTTAAATTATCATGTATTAGATGAAGTTTTAGAAGATCGTCCTGTTTCAATAGCATCCAATCCTTTAGATCCTAACAAACCAAATCCCAAGCATGGGATAGGGACTCTTTCTTTCAGTTCAGACTCATGCTTCTTGGCCTCCATTAATGGTAAAGTAAAACTATTTAACTCAGTAATATATAGTTGAAATGGATAATAGTTTATAGTTGTACATATAACTTGAGATAATATACGTATTGTTTCATGTATGTAAAATCAGTTTGGAGTTTCTTTAATACACTTTAATCAAATAAATTTATGATTTTTTTGCTAATGAAGTTCTATAGTTTTCTATTAAACTAAAACATATATATAAATGTATTTGATGAGTAGATATGTCAGACTATGAATTTTTAAATATCTTGGCAGACAACATGCCTACAACAATTTGGATTTGGGATGTAAAGAATTTAGTCATGTCTGACATCCTTATTCAAGCACACCCTGTGAAATGTAAGTTTGTATGTTTTATTTTACAGTGTAAAAATGTTATAATATATTCTATTTCTTTAAAGATACACAACTGTATATATTTTATTTTGATTTTAGGGTGTGCTACATGTACATAAAAGTTTGAGTGGTATGGTTTGTCATTTTTTTCATGCAAATAATGTAATATTTCAATTGAAGTCAAGTAAATTAGTTCTAAGGGATTATTAATACTTTTACCATTAATCCACAGTTTTGCAATGGGTGTATTGTAAATTACTAGGTAATTGTAAGTTATTTCTATCAGTGAACAGAATTGAAATAAAATAGTATTGATTGATAAGTCTAAACTTTTGATTTAAAAATAAAATTGACAATATAGTAATTCTGTTTTTAAGTTGTACTACCATGGGGTGTAGAAGGTCATCATTGTTTATTTCTTGTAGTAACATGAATGTCTTGTTATTGATGTTTCATGTAATCTATGTTAAAAATCAGTAATGAAAATTAAATACTTACAGAAATACTAGGATGGCCCTGTTTGAAACTTTGTGTTATTGGTTAATTTTGGAAACTTTATTGTGGCTGTTATGTTTACTACAAACTAACATTTAAATAAAGTACACATTGCCTAATTTTTATTATGGCTAATCATCATAAATTACATTAGCTCTGTATGAACCTGTGCACTGTTTAATGTAATATGTTCTTACAAATATCAGTGTATTCTACTATTTTGAACTAAAGCACTAGTACAACACACACACAATGTAGTTTTTCTTTAAATTAGTATATTCTACTATTTTTAACTAAAGCATTAGTACAACACACACAATGTAGTTTTTCGGTTTAGAATGCACTACTTGTTTAATAGACATTGATTGGGTTTTAAGTTATTTAATATTCAGAATGGTTTAGAATGTACTACTTGTTTAATAGACATTGATTGGGTTTTAAGTTATTCAATATTCAGAATGGTTTAGAATGTACTGCTTGTTTAATAGACATTGATTGGGTTTTAAGTTATTTAATATTCAGAATGGTTTAGAATGCACTACTTGTTTAATAGACATTGATTGGGTTTTAAGTTATTCAATATTCAGAATGGTTTAGAATGTACTACTTGTTTAATAGACATTGACTGGGTTTTAAGTTATTTAATATTCAGAACGGTTTAGAATGTACTGCTTGTTTAATAAACATTAACTGGGTTTTAAGTTATTCAATATTCAGAACGGTTTAGAATGTACTACTTGTTTAATAGACATTGATTGGGTTTTAAGTTCTTCAATATTCAGAATGGTTTAGAATGCCCTACTTGTTTAATAGACATTGATTGGGTTTTAAGTTATTCAATATTCAGAATGGTTTAGAATGTACTGCTTGTTTAATAGACATTGACTGGGTTTTAAGTTATTTAATATTCAGAATGGTTTAGAATGTACTGCTTGTTTAATAGACATTGACTGGGTTTTAAGTTATTTAATATTCAGAATGGTTTAGAATGTACTGCTTGTTTAATAGA